CGTGTACCAAATATGAAACGGGCGCGGTTTGGCTTTCGAGTGGCTTCACATCCTTGATTTCGTTGGGGGTCTGTAGTTCCATTGTATTATGTTCAAGATTGTAGGTTCAGACAAATTAAAATAAAAGTACTTGACCACAAAGTTTGACGGTAATTTCAAATTTGTCCCTGGGGGAAGGACACCCCCATAAAGTCCTATATATGTGGGCTACCCCCAAAGGCTTTTTACTTCTTCAGGCTTTAAGTGTACAATCAAACTCCGTTAATACGGACATATTAGGGCCATTTATACGAGGAAAAATAAGACGCGAACTTTCCGTATAAACGGCACATTTCGTCTAAAATAAGACGCGTCTTATTAGATAAGATATGCTCGTATAAATGGTACAGTTCGCGTCTTATTTAAGACGCGTCTTATGTAAGACGCGTCTTATTTTTCCTCGTATAAATGGCCCTATTGAGGGGGCCTTAGAAAGTGTCCGTATTAAGCAGGCTGAATGTAGAGAAAATGTAAGGGCTTTCCGCAAACTGTCCGTAATAATGAGATGTTCATATTAAGCGGTTGTCCTTAAAGCGCGGTTTGACTGTTTTATTATATTAAAGGGAACAGGGGCACCCAACGTCAATTTTCGGAAAATATCTGTTCGGAAGACGACTTGAGATCTAGAATTTTCGGAACATTTGTTGTAAGATTTCTTGCTTGCCTGCCTCTCCTAGGATTTTCCAACATCTAAAAAATGATATTTTTGCCCATTTTTAAGGGATTTTTACCCTAAACAGGTCGCCTAGAATTTTCGGGAGCCTTTTTTCTGGCTGAAAATTTCGAAAAGGATCACTTGACTTTCAGCTAGGAAATCCGAACAGATGAAAAATTTTTAGGGGATAAAAATATGCCTATATATCTACCGTTTAAATGCTAAAATACGTTTAACAATGCTATGTTTAAGTGGTTTTGAACTTTATTCTAATTGGGTGCCCCTGAGGGAAAGAGTTTCACGAGTTGAAGTACATGGAAAGGTAGGGGAATCTGTCTTTTGAGTATTTAAAAGAGCCTTTTTTGAACAGACACACCTTTTATATGGCTATACACTTTTAATTGATTATGTTCTCCCTTATGATCGTCATTAGCTTCATTCCAAGGGTTCAGCAAAGACACGCTGTCTTCTTCAGGAATTTGAGAGTAGCAGCATTCTCAAATGAGAAGTATACAATAGCTTTTCTTCCAAAAATGCCCGGCAAAAATGATATTATAAGGTCAAGAGGTTGGATCCACATCGGCCCCGTATAAAACTTTGTTGAATTCCTCTAACCACCACCACCACCATCCACCATCCACTAAGCTTGAGGCTGGTATCATCCTCTGTGTCTGTCCACCCAGACTTTGCAATGCTTCAAAAGAAATTTGATTTAGAGCTACAATTTACTACGCTGGCATTTTGCAAGGTTACAAAATACTGCAATGCAATTTTTTAAATCAAAATTTATAAGATCGCCAAAATAGTATACGATCAGCTGTTTTGAAAAGCTTAGACATCCTCGAAAAGGCCTGTGCAAGAGCCAATTGTTTCCCCCATGGGATACTTTCTATAATGGCTTATATAGGGAGGCTCCACCCGAGAGGGAACAGTTTTTCAGGTTAGAGGCAAGGAAAGGCTTATCGGACAGCTAAGGATTGGCAATTAACAAATTTATTTGCCCAATATTTCGACTAGACAAAACTAGTCTTCATCAGAGGCTAGAAAAGCTAAGTGAGAATAGAATAAACGGTTACGGTATTTAAACTAATACAAAAATATAAAAATAAAATGTGATTAGTGGAGAAATACAACAGACGAACACTAAAGAGGTTACTATAAAGGTAGAGTAAGTTTTTATCTCGTCTGTTCATCCCGGGGTCAAGTGTTTTGCTTTTAGAAATTAAAAATCCTTTGCGGGCCTTACGGATATTGTTCCTGTGTGAAGTAATTAGTTCTAACGGAATGATTTCTATGTCCTTGATAAAATGATCTGGAAGATAGAAGTGGTCTGAAACGGCGGCCGGGATGGCTAAAGTGATCCTGATTTAAGGCTTTTTCTATGGAGCGTCCGTGTTCTCAAAATCTGTCACTTATTATATATCGCACTGGATCATGTATTAAAACGAAGATTTGAAGTGAACAAGACTATGATGTGGTATCGGATGCGTCGTTGTTCGTTAGTGAGGAAATATTGGTCAAATAAATTAGTAAATTACCAACTCTTAGCTGTCCTATCAGCCTTGCCTTTAATTTTAAGTGTTAGTCTATATTGCTGATCCAGATCAACAACAGGATCCGGCTTTCCTTCGCTGCTGTTTGTCCAAGTAGTCCTTGCAATGATTGTTCGCTAAAAAAAGGGGTAGGGATTTCAATAGTTTAAGTATGCCAGAAGAGTAAGGAAATCTAACATTGCGGTCTGTAAAAGGCCCAAAAGGGCTAACATATGCCCTTTATGTCTGTGGACTAGTAATTGGCTCCTGCTGTGGATAAGTCGAGAAAACGTTCTGTTGTTTATTCATATTTAAAACAGTGCATTTACAGCAGTTAAAAGGAGTGCAACTTATGGGGTACAATTTGTCATTAAAAGGTGTACGAAAGGTGTACCTTTTCTTTTAAAAACGGCATATAAAAGGGTCGGGGGTTGGACCTCGGGGCGGAGCCTCCCCGTATAAAACTTTGTTGAGTATCCTCAGAAACTCATAAGGGGTTGAAAACCCCTTATGGGTTTCTGGTATCCTCTCCCCCGTTACCTCCTTTAACAGTTTTCTCTTAATACTAATAGTCTTTTGAAAACTGCTACGATTGGCATTTAAAGATAATATAAAATAAATGCATAATTTTTCGGGGATCACATTATGCAGTTGCGGATCCAGGGGAGAGGCCCCGGGGGGCCCGCCCCCCTTATTCTTAGACCAAACTGAAACACCCCTCCCCTCTCTTATCTCAGTGTCTGGATGACCGCCCTCCCTTATCTGAAGGACTGGATCTGTCACTGTTATGTACCTTTTTTGGTTTTTGTGAGCGATCGCGATGATAATTAAGGGTGAAACAAAAGACAGCACCATGTTGGCCACATGGAACCTGTTGTGTGGTCAGTGTTCATTTTAAAATTTTGAACATGGCACAAGGCTCTCCTGCTGTGCATAAAACTGACTCTTCTAGTGTCAATAGTTTTTACACGCCTGCGGTAATCGCAGATGTCTCCTATTTCTTGCATAGGAGGAGATGTCCGCATGCAAGCTTTGTAACGCAGGCTGTACGGACATGTCCGTGCTGCGTACCTCACATCGAAAAGCAGGTGTGCGTCGAGGAAGACTGGAACGAGTTTTTCTCAGATCGCGATCCGTAGGATCCGCAGCCAGAGAATTGTGCTGGAGGTAAGTTACGACGTTTGGATCGATTCTACGAATTTTGTTCAAAGAAAAATGGAAAGAAATTGTTTTTAAATAGCACGAACTTTCCGTATAAACGGCACATTTCGTCTAAAATAAGACGCGGCTTAGCTAAGACGCGTCTTATTAGATAAGACATGCTCGTATAAATGGTACAGTTCGCGTCTTATTTAAGACGCGTCTTATGTAAAACGCGTCTTATTTTTCATCGTATAAATGGCCCTATTGAGGGGGCCTTAGAAAGTGTCCGTATTAAGCAGGCTGAATGTAGAGAAAATGTAAGGGCTTTCCGCAAACTGTCCGTAATAATGAGATGTTTATATTGGCGGTTGTCCTTAAAGCGCGGTTTGACTGTTTTATTATATTATACGTCAATTTTCGGAAAATATCTTTTCGGAAGACGATTTGAGATCTAGAATTTTCGGAACATTTGTTGTAATTAAAATTTCTTGCTTGCCTGCCTCTCCTAGGATTTTCGAACATCTAAAAAATGATATTATTCCCCATTTTTAACGGATTTTTACCCTAAACAGGTCGCCTAGAATTTTCGGGAGCCTTTTTTCTGGCTGGAAATTTCGAAAAGGATCACTTGACTTTCAGCTAGGAAATCCGAACAGACGAAAAATTTTTAGGGGATAAAAATATGCCTATATCTACCGTTTAAATGCTAAAATACGTTTAACAATACTATGTTTAAGTGGTTTTGAACTATATTCTCGTTGGGTGCCCCTGAGGGAAAGATTTTCACAAGTTGAAGTACATGGAAAGGTAGGGGAATCTGTCTTTTAAGTATTTAAAAGAGCCTTTTTTGAACAGACACACCTTTAATATGGCTATACGATTTTAATTGATTATGTTCTCCCAGCTTATGATCATCATTAGCTTCATTCCAAGGGTTCAGCAAAGACACGCTGTCTTCTTCAGGAATTTGAGAGTGGCAGCATTCTCAAATGAGAAGTATACAATAGCTTTTCGTCCAAAAATGCCCAGCAAAAATGGTATTATAAGGTCAAGAGGTTGGACATCGGCCCCGTATAAAACTTTGTTGAATTCCCCCCCCCCACCCCCACCCCCCTCTAACCACCACCACCACCATCCACCATCCGCTAAGCTTGAGGCTGGTCTCATCCTCTGTGTTTCTCCACCCAGACTCTGCAATGCTTCAAGGGAAATTTGATTTAGAGCTACAATTTACTACGGTGACATTTTGCAAGGTTACAAAATGCTGCAATGCAATTTTTTAAATCAAAATTTATAAGATCGCCAAAATAGTATACGATCAGCTGTTTTGAAAAGCTTAGACATCCTCGAAAAGGCCTGTGCAAGAGCCCATTGTTTCGCCCATGGGATACTTCCTATAATGGCTTATATAGGGAGGCTACACCCGAGAGGGAACACTTTTTCAGGTTAGAGGCAAGGTAAGGCTTATCGGACAGCTAAGGATTGGCAATTAACAAATTTATTTTCCCAATATTTCGACTAGACAAAACTAGTCTCGCATCAGGGGCTAGAAAAGCTAAGAGAGAATAGAATAAACGGTTACAGTATTAATATAAAAGTAAAATGTGATTAGTGGAGAAATACAACAGACGAACACTAAAGAGGTTACTATAAAAATAGATTAAGTTTTTATCTCGTCTGTTCATCCCGGGGTCAAGTGTTTTGCCTTTAGAAATTAAAACTCCTTCGCGGGCCTTACGGATACTGTTCCTGTGTGAATTGAAGTAATTAGTTCTAACGGAATGATTTCTATGTCCTTGATGGAATGATCTGGAAGATAGAAGTGGTCTGAAACGGTGGCCGGGATGGCTAAAGTGATGCTGATTTAAGGCTTTTTCTATGGAGCGTCCGTGTTCTCAAAATCTGTCACTTATTATATATCGCACTGGATCATGTATTAAAATGAGATTTGAAGTGAACAAGAGATGTGGTATCGGATGCGTCCTTGTTCGTTAGTGAAGACATATTGGTCAAATAAATTAGTAAATTACCAACCCTTAGCTGTCCTATCAGCCTTGCCTTTAATTTTAAGTGTTAGTCTATATTGCTAATCCAGATCAACAACAGGATCCGGCTTTCCTTCGCTGCTGTTTGTCCAAGTAGTCCTTGCAATAATTGTTCGCTAATAAAAAAGGGGTAGGGATTCCAATAGTTTAAGTATGCCAGAAGAGTAAGGAAATCTAACATTGCGGTCTGTAAAAGGCCCCAAAGGGCTAACATATGCCCTTTATGTCTGTGGACTAGTAATCGGCTCCTGCTGTGGATAAGTCGAGAAAACGTGCTGTTGTTTATTCACATTTAAAACAGTGCATTTACAGCAGTGAAAAGGAGTGCAACTGATGGGGTACAATTTGTCATTAAAAGGTGTACGAAAGGTGTACCTTTTCTTTTAAAAATGGTATATAAAATGGTCAGGGGTTGGACCTTGGGGCGGAGCCTCCCCGTATAAAACTTTGTTGAGTATCCTCTCCCCCGTTACCTCCTTTAACAGTTTTCTCTTAATACTAATAGTCTTTTGAAAACTGCTACGATCGGCATTTAAAGATAATGTAAAATAAATGCATAATTTTTCGGGGATCACATTATGCAGCTGCGGATCCAGGGGAGAGGCCTCGGGGGGCCCGCTCCCCTTATTCTTAGACCAAACTGAAACACCTCCCCCCCCCCTCTTATCTCAGTGTCTGGATGACCGCCCTCCCTTATCTGAAGGTCTGGATCTGTCACTGTTATGTACCTTTTTGGTTTTTGTGAGCGATCGCCATGATAATTAAGGGTGAAACAAAAGACAGCACCATGTTGGCCACATGGAACCTTCTGTGTGGTCAGTGTTCATTTTAAAATTTTGAACATGGCACAAGGCTCTTCTGCTGTGCATAAAACTGACTCTTCTAGTGTCAACAGTTTTTACACGCCTGCGGTAATCGCAGATGTCTCCCATTTCTTGCATAGGAGGAGATGTCCGCTTGCAAGCTTTGTAACGCAGGCTGTAAGCACATGTGCGTCCTGCGTTAAACTCACAAAAGCAGGTGTGCGTCGAGGAAGACTGGAACGAGTTTTTCTCAGATCGCGACCCGTAGGATCCGCAGCCAGAGAATTGTGCTGGAGGTAAGTTACGACGTTTGGATCGATTCTACGAATTTTGTTCAAAGAAAAATGGAAAGAAATTGTTTTTAAATAGCTCAAGATGCTTTGTTACTAGATACTCTTACCTTCTAACAAACCTAAAGCTCCGATGGAATAGTCTGGAACTTTGCATATGCCCGTTGCCTGGATATGAGGCAAGCTATTTTGCATTTGAAAGTAGCACTGCAAATTGCATTTTGGCCTTTGTGCAAGGTAAAGACAAGTTGAAAATTGCTTTTCTCACCCTTCGTCGTACGATCGACGAATCTTCTATTTTGCTGAAAGGGACGGAAGAAAAAACTGCTGATCTGCGAGGAACGGTAGCGAAGAAGAAAGCTCAGAAATACGGCAACATGATTTCCCGCGAACTATGACCTACGAAGAATTCAGACAAGCTTAATATTTGCCCGCGTTGTTAAAAGGGTAAATCGTTTCTGATTTCTTTCTCCGCTTGTGAACTGTCAGTTCTGATGGTCAATGTAATCTTCAGTTCAGAGCCTTGCGCAATTGTTGAATAACGGACATCGACAAGTAAAGAGAAATGCCGCAACGACGACCCCCTCATGTCGTTTGCTACATTTGTGGACGATTATACGGAACCACGTCAATTTCACTGCACATTCCAAAGTGCCTGGAAAAATGGGAGATGGAAAATGCACAATTACCGCGGCATTTACGCCGTAAACCGCCACAGAGACCCGCAGGATGGGGAAACACACCATTATCCAGTGACCCGCGGGAAAGGGCAGCTCAGTTGGATTCCATGAATGATATAGCATTCCAAGCTTCTCAAAGTCAGCTTGTTCCTTGCGAGAATTGTGGCCGCACATTTAATCCTGATCGGCTGCCAGTGCATCAGCGAAGTTGCAAGCCAGGCAAACCTCTCAAGCCTTCTAAGAGCTTTGATCCTTCCAGGCTAGGATCAGGGCGACAGGGGTCTTCCCCCTCGGGGGATTATGGCCGGAGGAGCCCTCAACCACCTAGGAAACCTAAGACCGTTGTTTGCTTCATATGCGGAAGAGAATTCGGCACAAAATCCATAAGCATTCATGAGCCACAGTGCATGAAGAAATGGGAACTTGAGAACAGTAGGCTGCCAAAGCACTTGCGGCGACCACCGCCAGTCAAGCCCAACATTTTACCAAGTTTATCAGGCCACAATGGAAGTGATTTGGAGCGTATGAACCAGCTGGCATTTGAGTCATCACAGAAGCAGTTGGTGCCATGTAGAAATTGTGGTAGAACTTTTCTGCCAGACAGGCTGGAAATTCATATGAGGTCATGTAAACCTGGAAGCAAAACAATGCCTCTGAGACACTCAGCAGGTGGGTTAAGGGAATGTCCCAATTTCCTTTCTATTTTAAATTTGGAAAAAGTTCTGAAGAGAAAAGCCAGTGGTCCTCACAGGTTAAACATTTGTTCATCAATAAAATAATGTTGCAGCATTCGTGTAACAATTTTGAAGTAATATTTATATCAAACACACAAGTGATATCCCTTGATCTCTCTTCATGAATTATTAACGAGTTTGAGAACAGTGTATAATGTACATTTTCCTAAGTCAAATGCATGTGATTTTCAAACACATATTTACCAAATTTCCAAAAAAATCTAACTACTTCTGAAAAGTTTCAAAGAGGTTTCAATGACTTTCAAACACTACAGAAGATTCCCAAAGATCTCCAGCAATGGTTTTTGAGGGTTGCAAAGCTCCCAATCTTCGCACCATCTTGCAAACCATATCTTGGCAAGACTACCAAGGCAAGGTATCATGACGCCTTAGATTATTACTTAGGATTCAAATGTGACATTTAGTGCCATTCACTGGACTGTTGTAACTAAATTTTAATTCAATTTTTAGCATTAATAGTCATTGAATAAGCAAAACTCACAATTATTGTGAGTTTTGCATGTGAAATTGTCCAGCTGTATGCGTGAGTTTGACCTTTTCGATCCATGTGTTTACTTGTTGAAATAATGAGGAAGGAAGGAAGCCAGGAAGGGGGCGGGGCATTGGGGGACAGAAAAAGTCAGTTGAACATACCGTAAAATTCCGAAAATAAGCCCCTCCAAATATAAGCCCCCCAAACCGGTAACACAAAAAAACCCTCCATTAAATCGCCCCTCCAAATATAAGCCCCCAGGGCCTTGTACTTGGAAAATTGCCCTCAAATACAAAGTAAAACAAAGCAACAACGGTAAATTTACTTCCAACTATAAGGCTAGCCCAATCAATTTTGAAACGCAAATTTCTGTCCGTAGATAAGCCCCTCCAAATATAAGCCCCTCAAAAAGGGCCTTTGAAAAATATAAGCCCCAGGGCTTATTTTCGGAATTTTACGGTAGTTCATGATAGTTTTTTTTTCTCATTCCTTCTTTGGGAAAAGAGCAATTTACAGTATTTAATATTACCCCTTTAGGCAGAAGACTGACCCCACTTAGCACCCCTGGTGGAATGAGTGCTACACAAGGAGGCCAGCATTTTCGTCAGAGCCCTTTGGGCCAATATGAAGACTACAATCACAACACAGGGCCACTAGAAAAGGACAAAACCTTCATAAAAAACAAGTCATCCCCAAGCAGCGGCAAGAAATCTACTCCTCCTGCAGCTTCTGCAAATCGTCCATCCAGGTTAAAGCCGATGTCCAATGCACGCACACCATCTCCTTCATATAATACTAGGCACAGTTCTTCAGCTTTGTACAGCCAGCCAACAGAACAGTCTACAGAGCAGGTCAGTCTTGTTCCTTGTCATAATTGTGGCAGATCCTTCGCAGCAGATCGCTTGGCAAAACACCAATCAATTTGTAATAAGAGTGGAAAACAACGGAAGGTGTTTGATTCCACCAAAATGAGAACACAAGGAACTGATGCGGCAAAGTACAACAGACCTGGAGCAAGGAAGGCCCCGGATCCTCCCAAACCCAAATCAAACTGGAGGCAAAAGCATGGTAAGAACTGCCTTTATCTTCCAGCTTTTACTTTTGATGGCAGCCTTTTAGTTAAATGCATCTTGATCTTTGTAGTCTGGAGGTTTGGGCTGAAGCTTTAAACCTTTAAGTGCTAAAAGCCCCATTATCTGCATACAAATTCTCCAGACTGATCTTGCTCACAGAATATTATTCATGTACTGGACTTAGGAGGTATAACATTACCATGTTCTTTCATTATTATTAGTACTTCAGTGTAACAGTGCTTATACTACTACGTGAGAAATTTCTGCAATTTGATTGGCTTAGAGCAGTGGTATTTCAGCTTATTTTGAAATACCTACATGTGAAAATTACAAAACCTTTATGGGTGGTGGTATAACCTATACAAATACTGTTACTGGGGCCACTTAGAAAAAGTTGACCAATCAGGTAATAGGAAAATATCAATACATTCCAAAAAAGTTGGTTGTAAGCCAATCAGCAGCTTGTAAGAAAACAATAAGTTACTTGAAGCACAACATTTTCAAGAAAGCAAAACGTTTCACCAGTATTCGAAACTTTACATACAACACCCCGGAGACATATATTAAAAATAACTGAAAAATAACAGCTCATGTCAAACAAATTTTGTTTGACACGAGCTGTTATTTTTTTGTCTACCAGCAGGTTCTTTACTACAATGTTATGTACAATTGCTGCGCTTTGCAAAAACGTGCGACTCCAATTCAAAAAATTTATAACTAACATTTTCTTAAGTGGGTTGAAAAGGTCACATCTGTAGGTTGTAATTGCTTGATTATAATTCTTGTTGTTTATTTTGCTTCATGGTAATTATGATCATGACCAACTTTCTCGAAATGTTTTGTTATTTTTCTCTTAACCGATTGGTCAACTTTGTCAAGGTAGCTCCAGTTATAGTATTCACACTATAACAATTTGCAATGTTGGTCATACTCCACAGCGGAATTCATAAATGCCATCAGAGATGCTAAAAGAGTAACAGAGCACATGAAGAAGGGTGGAAAAGCATCTGATTTACCTCCCCCTGTCCCAAGTGAGAATCCAGACTATGTGTTCTGCAGATTCTGTACACGCCGCTTTGCACCTGATGTGGCAGAGAGACACATTCCTAAATGTCAAAACACACTAAATAGACCAGCACCTCCAAAACAGAGGGCATTAGCATTGCATGCAAGTGGTGGTCGCTACAATGCCAGGAAAACTTTTTCAAGCAGTCGAAATCGCCGCTAGGTCATGTGCTATCACAAGGTGTAAAATTGCCAGTCCCTTTGCATGCCTTTTCTGATGTTGGCACTTACTCTTCCTGCCTCACTATTGACACAAAAATCAGCATTAGTTAATGATCATTAAACATGAGATGAGATCTATTCTTAAGTCTCACAACTTATCAGTCAAAACGTGTGGATGATGAGTTTCAGAGATGGTGATGGTCTCATCAATGCCAATCACTCTGCCATAGAGGGTGTTTACCGTTGCCACACCCAACTTTATCTTTGTGTTCATGGTGCTTTGTAAATACGTTTTGGGCATAATTGTCAAAAAATGCTTTCAAATGCCACTGAAAAAACATGTTATAGATATATATATCTCACAAGGGGCAGGTTACAGGCAGCCCAGGACCCTCTAAAGGCATCCCTGTTATTAGCAGATGATACTGATTATTAATAATAGTAATACTGTAATTATCCTCTCGCCTTATGGGGCTTTTGAGGGATAATGAAACAAATAATTTAAATGAAACATAACATGGTTAAAAATCCCAATCAGTAGGAGGCAAACCAGTTGGCTATTTACAAACGAGGCCGAGGATTTGAACTAGGGACTGTCAAGAACAAATCCAGCTAGCAGTCACAGCAGGACTTGAACTCAGGGCCTCCAAATTACAAGTCCAGTGCCCTAACCGCTCGACTATGCCGCCTCCTATGATTGAAGTTTATATAGGAGCAACACACAGTTAGTAGTCAGTCAATGGTCAACAGTGTACATAATTTTTAATGTAATATTTATCTGTTTATTTATTTTAATATTATTTAACCATTAAACATGTAACATTGGAAGAAAATTATGTGCTGCGTGTTCTAGTTCTGAGTGTTCAAGATTTGTTTTCATTCATTCTGTGCCTTATTCCATGGCAGCCTGCACTTTCTGGAAACATTATGCGACCTGTTTATTTTGCCAGCAACCAATGTCAGCTGAGGACTTCCAGATAAACTTTAGCAGACTCACAATGCCTCATTCAGTGATTTGCATCAACATTCATTCACAGTGAACAAGATTCATTTGTGTGGGTACTTTAACATCAGGGGCATAGCTTGAATTTTCCAGAAGGACACTTAGTCTTCCAAATCAACACTTCAGTACTTTTGCCTCCCAAATTGTTTTCACAGCTAGCAGTGGCCTGTCCACTGGCAAATAAAATAATTCCCCCATTATTTTAATACTACACTTGACAATCTCTATAAAGAAAACAGAGGATCTTAATTTTTATCATCATCATCATCATCATCATTCTTATTATTACTATTATTCATTCATTAATTCATTCAAAATATTTCTCTATCTCTGATTGGCTAAAATCCCACACATAATTCTTCATAACCGGCTACTGTCAACCAAATTTGGAAGAAGTTTGATGACGTCAATAGGCCTCACGCATTAGTTGATCACGTGATCAACTTTCGGTCAACACGAAAGCAGTTCGTTTTTGGAAAATTTTGTTAGCACGAGCTGCCAGAGCATATCAAAATTAGATAACACGTGAATTTCAAAAGTAGCGATCGCAATGGCCGCGGAAAATTAGAAGGATTTGTATAAGACAAACAACTTTTGTCACCCTTCCAGTAGCCTGTTCCAGGCTCTCAGATAGTGGGGAAGACGCGAAAGAAAAAGGCACGCGAAAAGTTGGCGGGGCGGGAAAAAGGTTTCCTCCCGTTTTACTTTCCTCTTCGCTCTTTCTCGATTCAGCGGGCCCAACTATCTCGGAGCCTGGAACGGGCTACCCTTTCAGTCACGTTTGAATTGTTTTTTTCCATACAAATCCTTGTCAATTTTGAAATTTTCCAACTGTCGTGAAATATTTCCTTGAGCATTACTTGGCTCAAATCTCCTCTTAATTCATAACGGGCACTTTGAGCCCTTAAATGCGTCAGGGAAAGATTTAACGACAGTTTAAAAATTTTAGAATTTACAAGGAGTTGCATGGAAAACCACTCAAGCGTGACTGGGTGGCAAGAGTTGTTTTTCTGAGACCCTGCCGGGGTAAGTTCCGACAAATGACATGACCTAAAAAGTGGCGACAGAGAGCAAAATGAAATCGTGACAAGAGACAACCTCCCTCGGCCAAATTGCGACAGTACCGGCAAAGCCGTGAATAAGCGACAAAGAACGGTGGTTTGGCTAATTTATCACCAGTCTGAATGCCAAGAAGTAATTTTCATCAATTTTCCTTGCGCTTCAGAGAACGTCTCTTGTCTCTTGTTAGTGAGCTTCAGTGGACCCTCCTGAGCGCGCGTCGCGGTACACTTTATTAAACAACCCTTCACAACTCCTGGGAGACTGTGCCTTCACAATTATCTGGTCAGTTAGTCTTCAAATGTTGAAGGTGGATCACTTAATTGTGAACAGCGATGTATAGGTGTTCAATACGCGAAATGTTAACTGAGAAATTGCAGAACTCCGTTTTTTAATATTCCGACAAAGACAAAAGACAAAAGACAAAAGAATTTTCGTTCGATTTCCGACAGCGACGTGAAGCAATTATAGCGGAGCTCTCTCGCGCGCGAAGCGGAGCACCATGGGTAAGAAAATTTGGTAACCGATGCATCCAAGAAATTTTGGTAGTCACGTGACCGTGCGCCGCCCGACCGACCGTCCGTCCGCACCACAGGCATACCAAAGTGAAATAACTCAATCGAGAGGTGGGGCAACCCAAATGCAACTCAAGGTTTTATTTGGAAGGAAATCGCATGGCCGCCCGGACTTTAAAGAAAGAAAAAACAACAACAAAGTCGTGTCTTTTTCGACGTTATTTTTGATGTTTACACTCTCAAGTGGATAGCGGTGGATAACAAACCAACCTTAAATGAAGCCATTTTACTTTAAACAGAATAGGGAGAAATGGGATTTCAAAAATAGTAAATAAAAGTAACCTTAATCTAAAGTGAAGAAATGTATATTTTAAACAGCCACTTTACACACACACATACTATGGCAAATGGGATGCACTACTGCGTCTGTTTTTATTCCTTTACAGAAATAATTACATGTTTACATAATACATTGCGTAGTATTATGCAATGTGTTATGTATATATGGTGAAAGCAAAAAGGAAGCCTGATTTTTTTGTGGCTTACTTTTTTCAGGTTCTTATGACTTCAGTGCATATAGATCACATTGACCTTTCATTTAATAAATAAACCTGTATCCTTCTTTTGTCTATTTTTACAACTACATTCAGAATGTCTCCTTCCCATGAATAAATAAAAACACAGCCACAGCAGCATTGACTACAAGTCCAAGAAGACCAAAGGAAGGCCATCCATAATGCTTGTACATAATACTCCCCAGGGTGGGGGAGACAGTTCTTATGAGTGAGTTGGTTGCCATGGAGAGTCCCAATACTGCACCAGTTTCCTTGATGACGACACTCTTTGTCATAGCTGAGGTTGTGATGACATTTAATGTAGTTCCGCCTACCACCATTGGTATAATGACGACACAAAACTGGTAGATATCTGTTACCATGTACTAATAAGAGAACAGAAATATGTCAATATTTCAACACACAATATGCTTGACAGTACATGTCGTAATGTTTTGAATTACAGATGACAAGGAAATAAAAGCAAACTAATTAAATGAACTGTCATATTAAGAGGTTGAAGTCCCATGAACTGCTTTGGGGGTTTCACAGCTTTGAACCGAAGATCTTTCATCGTGCAAGTTAGAACCCCGATAACTCGAACTCCCCGCTAACTTAAACTAAGTCCAATTTCCCTTGGATTTCACCCCACTTTTCAGTCATTTTACTCGGTTCACTCGAACTCAGATAATTCGAATTCCTCACTAACTCAAACTAAATTTCCTTTCCCTTGATCAAAGTTACTGAAAATTAGCCTGATAAGTAAAATTCTGGCTCTTGTTTCTCTACTCGGTACTCGGTCTCCATTTGGTGCAATGAACAGATCAAGTTTTGTCATAAAAATTCCTATTCATGTTACCGTTTGTAATAAAATAAGTTAGACTTGCACTGCAGTAGCACTATATGTACTCCCGGAAGTTCTGAAAAATCAGTAACTATCAATTTTTTACACCGAAAATTGCAGTCGACCCCAAAAACTCAACCCCTCGCTAACTCAAACTGTTTCTTGTTTCCCTTCAGAGTTTGAGTTTCCCGGGTTCTACTGTACTGGTCATCCCAGTTGCTGAGTCATTTTATAGTCCGTAAAAAAAAATGTGGGCTAGTACGTTAGAACGCTAGTTATCAGTGCTGTATTCGCTAGTACGTTGGTAAGCTGGTCATCCCGGTTGTTGCGACAATTTTTTACAAGTCGTTGTTAACTAGTACGCTAGTACGCAAGTTATCACCGCTTTATTCGCTATTCAGTAAAAAATGGTACGCTAGTACGTTAGAACGCTAGTTATCAGTACTACATTCAACTATACGCAAGTACGCTAGTTATCACCGCTTTATTCGCTATAGCCGTTGGTACACTCTATTGAAGTCAGTGCTTAGCCATCTAAGTTGTCCGGCGATTACTCCTAGAAATACTGTAGACATTAATCGAGTCAAGGTATTGTCTGGTTACGTTAAAAGCCAGTGGTCCTCGCAGGTTAGACATTTGTTCATCAACAAAATAATGTTGCAGCATTCGTCTAACAATTTTGAAGTAATATTTATATCAAACACACAAGTGATATTCCTTGATCCCTCTTCATGAATTATTAACGAGTTTGAGAACAGTGTATAATGTACATTTTCCTAAGTCAAATGCTTGTGATTTTCAAACACATATTTTCCAAATTTCCAAAAAAATCTAACTACTTCTGAAAAGTTTCAAAGAGGTTCCAATGACTTTCAAACACTACAGAAGATTCCCAAAGATCTCCAGCAATGATTTTTGAGGGTGGCAAAGCTCCCAATCTTTGCACCATCTTGTAAACCATATCTTGCCAAGACTACCAAGGCAAGGTATCATGACGTCTTAGATTATTACTGAGGATTCAAATGTGACATTCAGTGCCATTCACTGGACTGTTGTAACTAAATTTTAATTCAATTTTTAGCATTAATAGTCATTGAATAAGCAAAACTCACAATTATTGTGAGTTTTGCATGTGAAATTGTCTAGCTGTATGCGTGAGTTCGACCTTTTTGATCCAAAGGCATGTGACACACAACTGATCTGAGTTGGCTGGAATGCCTTACTTTGTGTTTACTTATTGAAATAATGAGGGGGGAAGGGAGCCAGGAAGGGGGCGGGGTGTTGGGGGACAGAAAAAGTCAGTTGAATATACCGTAAAATTCCGAAAATAAGCCCCTCCATGTATAAGCCTCTCCAAATATAAGCCCCCCAAACCGGTAACGCAAAAAACCCTCCGTTAAATCGCCCCTCCAAATATTAGCCCCCAGGGCCTTATACTTGGAAAATTGCCCTCAAATACAAAGTATAACAAAGCAAAAACGGTAAATTGACTTCCAACTATAAGGCTAGCCCAATCAATTTTGAAACGCAAGTTTCTGTCTGAGATAAGCCCCTCCGAATATAAGCCTCTCAAAAAGGGCCTTTGAAAATTCGGAATTTTACGGTAGTTCATGATAGTTTTTTTTTCTTATTCCTTCTTTGGGAAAAGAGCAATTTACAGCATTATTTTAATATTACCCCTTTAGGCAGAAGACTGACCCCACTCAGCACCCCTGGTGTAATGAGTGCTACACAAGGAGGCCAGCATTTTCGTCAGAGCCCTTTTGGCCAATATGAAGACTACAATCACAACGTGGGGCCTCTAGAAAAGGACAAAACCTTCATAAAAAGCAAGTCATCCC